AAGTAACTTCAAATATAACCAAAATTATTGTATTCTGAGATCTCGCTACAATATTTTGCAAATAATGAATTTTCAGTCTTGTTAAAATTCAGCACACGATTATTGTCGAAATAAACAATATTTGAGATAAAGTCGCCAAACTACGACTATACACACATTTGTAACAGATTGAAATGATAATTTGATAGATGACAGATATTTTGACTTATATCAATAATGGGATAATAAGTTCGCAAATACTTACGCCGTCACTATTAGGGGACATTTGCCAACAAAATGGTTTTATCATTAGAAGTTAAGGAATTACTTAGGATTTATAACATCATTAACTTGAAATCTGATAAAAAGAGAATCCAGGTCATATTAAGAGTGGAATTGCCACTAGTCGACCATTAAACAGTGTGCATAATCAAACGAAAGTATAGGCTGCGACATCAGGAAACAGCAGAGATATCTTATAAGTGCGATTCTCCTCTAATGGTTACCTATTACGACTACAGATATTGCAACACAAAAACTATAAACCATATTTGAGGATCTGATAAATAGTTGCTCATCATTTCATAAAGGCATTACTAAATGAGAATTATACCAAAAATTCAAGTAGTAAAAAATGTATATTGGCTATAAAGAAATATTTTAGAGTTAAAATATCTTATATACTCTTATATACTCTTATATAGAGTATCTTATATACTCTTTACTTCGTAATCTTTTTTCGTTTTATATGCATTTATATTGAAGTGGTTTGAAAGACATTTTTAAATAAAACTTGTTATAAATCGTCTTTTTTAGTTTTTAGAAATTGAAAAGCATTTGTTGAATCTCCTTAACGTGAACTTTGTTTTAATATACATAAAAAAGGCTTGATCAACTTAACGTTGTCAAACACTAGCAATCAGCTGTTTGGCAATAAAAGGAGAATGAAATAAGCTTTCAGATAGATTAGAGCAGCTTCCGTTTTGGGTTTTCTGCAGCTGATAAAATCTTGCTACCTGTTTTTTCTTTTTGGACACAACGGTTGCAGCAGCATACATTAAAATACATATTAGCATATTTATACTTGAGCAATTTAGACCTTATACAACAAATAAATTTAAGAATCAGAACAATTGTGCATTTTTGCTTATAACAATTAATTGTAAAACTACGAGTTTAATACTTTAGACCAGAGGCGAGGCGTGGAATGGTTCAGAGTGTTCACTGAACACCTTAACAAAGCTTCCTTTTTAGATCTTTTTTTTATTAGGTAAATAATGTCACTATTTTGCTACTTAACATTTTTTATAATAGCTTTTCCAAACAGATTAACATAAACACAAAACGACAATACAAACAAAATCAGACATACATATGTTAGTTACACCCAACATTACTTATAATTAATAAAAGAGAAAACACATTCCTCTTAAAATATACTAAGGTTCAAAATAAAAACTGCACCGCGCTGCGAACATTTAAATAAATACGTTATTTGCTTGTGGAACGGACAAAATTCAGGAGTAGGGGGAATACGTTATAGTTGGAATTCTGTTTTGATCAAATTGTGAACACCTTGCCAAAAAGCTGACGCCTCGCTACTGCTTTAGACATAAATATATAAATTAAATCGATAAGAATCAATAAGAATTAATGCATTCTGAATACCATTTATGACGTTTTACTCGGAAAGACGCAATGTATTTTGCTACAGAGTTTTGCTCTGCTTTTCTGAAATAATAATTTCAATTTGAGTTCAATTGAAAACTTTTCGTTTTAAAATATTGACTCGATACGAAAATGTTTCGTTTTCCCATAGAGAAAAGGGACCCTGTAGAAAAAGTATTTCCAGGATTTTTCACTTTTTCAGATAACTTCCAATTTTTTCTTTTTTTTCCATAAGAACCTTGTTTCAACTATAATGAAGATGAAACATGGAAAGCACTACTAACAAAAGGCAATTAATTGTTATTAGATAGATTTATTAGTTGATCAACTGCATTAAAATCAACTTGACTTCATTCATTTAAATAAGTTAGTCGTGTTAATAATAATGACAGCAATTACCATAATGTCGATGACTTTACAACACATGCAGAAATGCAAGAGACAGACACGTTTTAACACACACAATAGACACACAAATATTTGCAGAACTGATCTATACAACAGCTGAAGGTATTTAACAGAAAATTTGGATTAAGAGTTAGCAAAGGAAAGAGGGTAGGGAGCAACCAAGAATTTTAAAAGTTGGGCTAGTACCCATGCCCTAGTACCCATGCCCATACAGGCGTGACAACGCGTGCCCTATCTAGAAAGGCGTGCAGCCCTTCTGCAATGTTGTTTTTACATGTAAGCGGTAAATTAAACATGATAAATTGAAATGTATGAGATGTTTTATTAATAATATCTATATTACATTAAGATACAATATATTCACAATATAATATAATATTTATATTTATAATATATAATATATATTTATATATTATAAATATATATATATTTATAATATATAATATTTATAATTTCATTAACAAAATAATATGTTAAATAAATTAAATTAATAATCTTATATATAAAAATCTCGTGTCACGGTGTTTGTGTTTAAACTCCTCCGAAACGGCTTGACCAATTGTCATGAAACTTTTTCTGTATATTTGGTAGGTATGAGAATATGTCGTAAAGTATATTTCATACCGCAAAAGTGATTAGGGTGTCCCTATCCAGCAAAAATATCTTTATTGCTTTAACAAAAATTTTTTTATTTTTTTTATATTTTTGAAAAAGAAAATTTTCTTTTTATTTTTTTATGAACGGCTTGCTCATTGCCACGCATGAAGATTCAAATCTGTTCCTGAAGTTCATAATCAAATATGCGATATTTAATTCATGCTTCCAAATGACTTCGTTCGGAGCAACAGAAATAGTTCACAATACTGCGGCAAATGGCCAACAATTTAATTCAACGTTTAAAATCAAAGACCAAGTGTACCATGAAGTAGGTTCATTTTTGCCAATGTCAAACGAACCATATAAATTTTTACAAATATACTTCATGGGCGGTGAGGACATCAATCGTGTGGATGCACGTTGCGGAAACAATAACATCAATTCGCCGTATGCCAGGCGTATTGTCGGTGAACTAGACACCCTATTGAATGAACTCAATAAATTATTGAAATTTTTTAAATCATACATGCACAAATTTCAATGTGACAATCACGCTATCATCATCAATCCTGATAGAACACCAGCTGGAGAGCACGTGCGTAGATACAATGTGATTGTTGTTGACGACGGTGCTGGAAACATGGTTGACGACAGCACATCGACTCGAGAAATCGTGATTTGAAGAAGAAACAATAATCTGGATTTCATCGCCTACACACACCGTACATACGACGCTGTACAATATCCGCTAATCTTCTGGAAAGGACAAGACTGATATTGCATAAACATTAAACAACGAGATCCCACAACAGGTAATTCATTCATTATGAAGATCATCATTTATTTTTAATCAGTATTTCTGAATTAATCTTTTAATATATAAGAATATACTGTTACAGGTGCCGAAACAAACAAGAAAATGAGTTCGATGGATTTTTATGCGTAACGTAAGATGATTCGACGCGGTCAAGACAATATCATTCTGTGATGTCGTGAGCTGTGCCAACAATTCATAGTTGACATGTACGTGAAGATAAAAAGCGAACGACTGCGATTCCTACGTTTCAATCAACAGAAATTGCGTGTGGAAGAATACATTCACTCACGAGACACTATCATGAACGACACGAAAGCAGGCGATATTGGTAACTTCATTATTCTACCATCATCAGTAGAAATAATTTATACGACAAAACAACGTTTGCCGGGTTATCTTGTTTATATATACATATGTAGCTGTCCATATTATCGGTAATCGCAGTAAACTAGATTATAATTTAAAATATTGACAACACAAAACTTGTTAAAATTTAGAAAAAAAATTATATTCGAAGAAGAAGTTTTCAGTTTGCTGATTAAGTAAATAAGCAGAAGACAATAAATAATTTTATAATTTAGATATAGCCTCTGTGTTTTCAATTACGTTCAAATACAGAAACCCGCTATATATTGGTGACCCAGACGTGATTTGAACACGCAACACACAAGCATGCCGGTGACACATTCAGATGATGAATCTGCATTCAGACCATTTCAATCAAACAATTCAACTGGTCACATCTCTCAACAGGAGCAATTACATCCAACTGAGCGGCATCATTCAATTAGACAAGAAGTGTCTCGAATTGCAGTGAAAATACCTCCTTTCTGGCACGCTAGGCCCGAGTTATGGTTTGCACAAATTGAGTCGCAGTTTGTAACTTCAGGTGTTACCACGGAGCATACTAAATTTCATACAGTAGTCGCGTCAATTGATGGGGTTATCCTGGCACAAGTCAGTGATCTGGTTCTCAACATGCCAACTGAAAATCCGTACTCCACTCTGAAGAAGCGTTTACTTGAAGAATTTTCAATTTCCGAGCAAAAAAGGTTAAAGAAGCTTCTTCAAGACATGGATCTGGGTGACTTGCGTCCTTCTCAACTTCTGCGTGAGATGAGAAACTTGGCTGGAACACAAGTGGATGATTCCTTACTTAGGTCAATGTGGATGACACATTTGCCAGCGAATATGCGTGCTATCATTTCAGTAAGCAGCGAACCTCTGGATAAAATCGCTATCATGGCAGATAAGATCGCTGAAGCGAACGATGCTTGTTCTATTCAAGAAGTTCGTTTGCCGACAACCTCCACGGTAAGTGATGTTTCTCTTCATCAACAGATATCACAATTATCGAAAGAAGTGGCCGAGTTAAGTTAAGTGCGAGAACGTCTGAGTTTGAACTCAGACGTTCTCGCAGCCGTGCAGCCTCAAGACACCGTAGTCGAAGAAATAGTGTTGATCGTGACGACGAAGATCTCTGATGGTATCATCCCAAGTTTGGTCGTAGCGCCAAAAAATGCAAAGAACCATGCAGCAAAAATTTAAACTAGATCGTCTGTCTTTATCGGCGATACCAGACAGACAACCCCAAGCATGTCGCCGACTTACCGTATTCGACAAAAGCTCAGGTCTGAAGTTCTTAGTGGACACGGGTGCTGAAGTTAGTGTTATTCCACCGAACGTTCAATAAGAACGCTGTCCAGACCAACACATACACTTATTTGCAGCTAACAAGTCGCCAATCAAAACATTTGGTAGAAAAAGGCTTTCATTGAGTTTGGGCTTACGTCGCGCTTTCTCCTGGAACTTTACCATTGCTAAGGTTTCACAACCTATCTTGGGTGCAGACTTTCTGGGATATCATAATCTTGTCGTCGACTTACGAAATCGCAAACTACACGATGGCATTACCAACCTGTCTGTCAACTGTGTTCTTACTGCAGTCAATCACCCGATATCTGGTCTTTCAGCAATCAATAATGATGATGAATTTCATACTTTATTAAAAGAATTTCCTGTAATCATTAATGATTCGCCGGTTTCCCTAGTTTCAACTCGTGATGTATTTCATCATATCGTCACTAATGGACCACCGGTTTTCTCAAAATTTCGTCGCCTTTCTCCTGACATGATGAAAGCTGCTAAAGCAGAGATTCAATCTCTCCTTGACGCTGGAATATGTAGACCATCTAATAGTCCTTAGGCCAGTCCTTTGCATATGGTTAAAAAAAAAACGGAGAATGGAGACCTTGCGGTGACTACAGAAGACTTAATTCTATTACCGAGCCAGACCGTTATCCCATTCCGCATATACATGATTTCACACATTGACTAGAAGATTGCAATGTTTTCTCGACTATTGATCTTCGTAAAGCCTATCATCAGATTCCTGTTCATCCTGCAGATGTTCCCAAAACAGCTATCACTACACCATTCGGAATGTTTGAATTCATTCAGATGACGTTTGGTTTACGCAATGCTGGTCAAACTTTTCAACGTTTTATGGACCACATTATACGTGATTTTAATTTTGCTTTTGCGTATCTTGATGATATTCTAGTAGCATCAAAGAACATTGAGGAACACAAACAACACATGAAACTTGTTTTCCGCAGGCTGCAGCAATTTGAGATGAAGATTAATCCTTCCAAATGTAATTTCGGTAAGGATGAAGTTATTTTTCTCGGATTTGTAATTAACAAGAATGGGGTTAAACCAACACCAGATAAAGTCGAATGCAATTTAAATTACCGCAGTGCGTTTGTGATCTGAAACGTTTTTTGGGTATGATTAACTTCTATCGCCGATTCTTACCGGGTGCCGCAACTCAACAAGCGGCCTTAAACAAACTTACTCTTGGCAATAAGAAAAATGATAAGACGGTTATCGAGTGGTCTGAAGAAGGTAAAACAGCTTTCGACGCATGCAAGATTCAACTTCGCGATGCAACGTATCTAGTTTTTCCAAAATCAAACGCTCAATTGGCTCTTATGGTGGATGCATCAAACATTGCCGTTGGGGCTGTGTTGCAGCAGCTAGTTGAAGGAAGTTTCCAACCACTTGGTTTTTATTCCGAGCGTCTGACTCACGCTCAGCGAAATTATTGCACTTACGACAGAGAACTTCTAGGTGCTTACAAAAGCGTGAAGCACCATGTTCGCCACATGTTAGAAGGTAGACAGTTTTGCATCTACACAGATCATAAACCGCTTCAGTTTGCTTTTACTAAGAAGCTTGATAATGCTAGTCCTAGACAGATCCGACACTTGGATTTCTTGAGTCAATTTACAACGGACATTCGCCATATCTCTGGTAAAGATAACATCGTTGCAGATGCTCTCTCAAGGATAGAAGCTATTCATTCTAGCGAGACAATTAATTATAAGGATCTTTCCTATCAGCAAACGACTGATGAGGAAGTTAAAAGGCTTCTCAACGGAGACTCCAGCTTGCAAATCAAGTCCTTTACCTTACCAAACTCTGATGTATCAGTGTATTGTGACATTTCTACCGGGAACGTTCGTCCGGTCTTGATGAAGCATTTTCGCAAAATCGCTTTTGACTCGATCCACAACCTTTGTCACTCAAATGGTAAAAGAACTCACAAATTATTAGCAGAAAAGTTCATTTGGCCTAATATGAAGAAAGATTGTGCTATTTGGGCCAAATCCTGCATTGCTTGTCAAAAAAGCAAAATTCACCGCCACAACAAGGTACCTATTCAGCAGTATCTACCTGCTTCGTCTCGTTTCGACCACGTCAACATGGACATTGTCGGACCACTGCCATGCTGTAGAGGTTTTCGTTACTGTTTGACAATGATCGATCGTTTCTCACGCTGGTCTGAGGTTTGTCCATTGCAGGATATTTCTGCTGAAAATGTAGCTTTCGCATTCTATTCCACCTGGATTGCAAGATTTGGCGTTCCATTACGTGTAACCACAGATCAGGGACGACAATTTGAATGCTATTTGTTTAAAGAGCTGTCTAAGCTTCTTGGTATTCAGCACTTACGTACCACAGCTTATCACCCTGCTTCTAATGGAATTATTGAAAGATTTCACAGATCTTTGAAAGCAGCCATTAAGTGTTATCAAAATGACAACTGGGTTGAAATATTACCTCTCATCCTTCTAGGATTTAGAGTTGTAGTGAAAGAAGATATTAACGCATGTCCTTCACAACTGGTTTATGGCGTTGGCTTACGTTTACCTGGGGAATTCATTTCAGAAGTTAATCGCGACGTCTCAAACCCTCAGGCAGAATTTGTAGCTAAACTAAAAAGATTTATGAACGACTTAAGATCTACTCAAACTGCTCATCATTCTAGTGGAAAGGTTTTTATTGAAAAAGATCTTTATTCCTCGGATCAGGTTTTCGTCAGAAATTCCATGATTTGTAAACCATTGCAAGCTCCATACGAAGGTCCATTCACTGTTCTTAAGCGTTTCGATAAATATTTTGTCGTGGATGTTAAGGGAAGGAAAGTGAATATCTCGGTGGATCGCCTCAAAGCAGCCTTCAGTGAACAATATTTTAAGGAACAAGAAGTTAAACCTTTAGTCACTGACAAGCACGAGCATAAGATTTACACTTCGCGTTATGGTCGCAAGGTGCTTTTTCGGAAGGGGGAATAATGTAGCTGTCCATATTATCGGTAATCGCAGTAAACTAGATTATAATTTAAAATATTGACAACACAAAACTTGTTAAAATTTAGAAAAAAAATTATATTCGAAGAAGAAGTTTTCAGTTTGCTGATTAAGTAAATAAGCAGAAGACAATAAATAATTTTATAATTTAGATATAGCCTCTGTGTTTTCAATTACGTTCAAATACAGAAACCCGCTATACATATATATATAAGTTTAATATTATCTCAATATGGAATAAATACAACTTTTCACATACTTCTTATAACATCAAACCAACATTTTTCAAACAATAAAGTTTGCACTCAGAACCATACATGTTTATGCAGTGATCAAACAAAATCGAATAGACTTGCAACGTATAAATGTGCGACCAGCTACTCCGCACACAAAGCGGCTATTATTCGATGGAGCAACAGCTAAAAGGAGAGACGAAATTTGAAAGAAAGGTATGGTGATGTGAGCTGCAAACTTAAGCCGCACATATAACCCCTTCGGCAAGTCAACATGTTGGATTCGTATGCATGAAGTTGATATTCGAATAGAACTGAAAATTACTCTCATAAAATTCCCACTATATAAATCTCTATTTCTCATATAACAAGCGTGATCACAACTAAAAACAGAAATTTGAGAATGCAATTGATTAAAGGGGAAAGACGAAATATAATAGAAGTGTTCTGCGATTTGAGCTGCAAACTTATGAGCACAACTAACGACTATATGGTAGTAGCTAAGAGCTAAGAGAAGCAAATTGATTGAGTTTTCTTAGACAATTATATTTAATTGTTTTTGCTAAAACTTTAATGTTTGAAAATATACTTACATATACATATATGGAAACGTGATAATTAATATTAATTCTCGATGTAAAGATATTTAATAAATTTATATATATTATTTAACATATTGCAAATTATGTTAAGATGTTCGCCGCACACATCCGCACCTTAAAGCAGTCGGCACTGCCGTACACCCCCATGCCATGATGTTTCTGCTCGTTCTCGAATTGGAATATTTATTCTTACTTTTGTAAAAACAACATAAAGCAGACCTAAATTTTTAATACATAAACACAGTGTATCTATAGCTGCACCTTCATCTGAATCTGTGGCAAATACAAAATGTAATCGCACTCAAGCTGCGTTCCATTAGCTTTCGTTGAATCACTTTTTCAGTGGCTTTCTTTCTTTGTGGCCTAGTAAACTAACCTAGTTGGTGGTTATGTCGATGCGCCTACAGCTTTTCAACAAAGGAAAGTGGGTGTTGGTGGGGGATGTAGCAATATTTAAGTAAACTAAAAGATTTAGCTTTAAACGGAATAGGTCATAAAAAAGTATAGTTTGTTGGGTACATAATTTCCTTGGCAAAGGCAATGTTCTGCAAATATGTCAGTATTTTTTTATCCGCAACTTGCAGTTACGGTTTGTATTTTTGTTTTTATTTTGATGCAATAGCATTACAAATATTATGTAACATGTAAATGCGCCAACCTTACATCAAAGTAATACATTTACTTTATGTTTTCCATTTGGTTTTCTTAATACTTTTCTCCATTCTTTAGCTAGTACACCATGCCGCTGTTTTATTTCGATGTGAAAGCCGTGGTATTCGGTGAAATAACACCTCAAAAAAGGGCTAAAGTCTATTGTCAAAAGTACATTGAACATGATTACCAGGCAAACCCTATTTTGTTCAGAAACTAACATAGGTTATTGTGAAAATTGGCAATACTTATAACCTAACAAACTTATTACATTGGTGATTCGCACTGAAAACTATCCAAGTAACTTATCACCATTCACAGTCAGTGAATTATACAACCTTTTAAGCAAACTTAATTCCCTTTTTTTTAATTTCCAATTTAAATTTATTTGTTTAGTTATGTTTTCGTACTCTTCGTGATCTCTTCGTGATCTCTTAGTTTTTTGTGTCCAATGGATAGCAACTTTGTCTTCAATGAGAAATATATGGTTACTGATATCAGGTTCATAACATAACTTATAACAAAATTTCTATTGATTCAGAGTCATGATCCATTACAAGTAAAGAAACATGATGAGTTCTTTGTGAGAAAAGTATGTCTTCTTTATGTCCTTGCATCTCTTCCAGAACTCTTCCCAAACATAGACATGCAGTTGAAAATGCCCAAGCAGCGAGTACGGCAGTCATAAGAGTTATGTCGAGTATTGTGAGCACAAAACAATACGAGTACCTATATTATCACGTATAACAAGTCTCATCTGGTAAATAAGTTGAGCTAATTGACAAACGTATCTAGGTAATATGATAACAATCAGGGGCAATAAGAAGTATAATATCGCTAAATAACAAGTAAGACACAATTTCATAATAAAGGACATATAGAAACATTGAATGACAATAAATACCAAATTAGTGATCGAAAGAAAGTTAATTAGTAATGCCAAAATAATTATCACCTCAATCAAGAAGACCAGAGATAGGCATGAATGCACTCAAAAGCCAGTAAGATGCATACTGCCTAAATGCAAATCATGTGCTCACACAATGCAGTTCACTCTGTGAGAAT